TAGTGTTTGAAAAGAACATGATAAATATTCTATCTCAGCCTTCACCTACTATAGGGATCTCCCCTATAGAATCACTTAGGTGGTCAGTCATCCCATCCTTGCCTGAACATTTCTGGGGAAGTGGAGTTAGATGCAATAGGGTACTGATAAATGGTGTAAAATGTGAATTAATCAAAAGTTCTAAAATCAGCATTTGCTTTATTGCCTACATCTGTCTACTCTTTATTGATTTTTATAAATCCATGAAAACCATATATCATCAAAAGATACCTCTATAGATTCCAGTTGTCAACTGTGCTTGTAACCACAAAGATCTGTCATGAATATAGAAGGTTAGACTGAATGGTCCCTATGTGATTGTAATAATATTCTTATGAAAACTACAACATGCAGGATGCTCAGTTTGGTATTTAAAAGTTAGTCTTTTTAAAGAGTATTTAGTAATTTTTATGAATGCTTTCCTGGCTTGTCCATTCCAAACTGTAATTTCAGTTTTTGTCCATTTCTGGTTTTGAATAACTGGTTCTTAGGTTTCCCCACATTTCCCTGAATAATTGAGTGTTGGCAGGATTTCTCCTTTCTTCCAATTGCTGTAATTTTTATTGAACAGCTTTAAGTTTAGATCCTATTAAAGGTAATAGAAATTAACTTTTTTGTATATTGAAGCATTATTTATAGTCCATCTGAAATAACTTAACAGTACACAGCTTGTCACCCGGTGAACAAAAATTCAAAATGGCTTTTGTAACAATGAATTAGGTAGAGAATGAGACAAGCATTACTAGTAATTTCATCTTGCTCCATTTCTTCTCGTGAAATTTAGATCTAAAAGGGGCCTTAGAGATCTTTCTAGCCCATCCCTTTCATTTTATAGATTAGGAAAACATAATGTATTATACATCTAAAAGAGCATTAGAGTAAGAATGAATTAAGATAAACAGCTCTTCTTCAGCTATTAAATTTTAGCTAGTACTGGCTGGAAGGAATTTTGCCAACACATCCACATTGCATCCTCTAGCTACATTTTAATTATCTAGGTAAAACTGAGAGGTTCATGCTTAGCTCTTGTCTGGCCTTCACCTTTGCACTGATAGGGGAGTACATGAGACATAGGGAGAAATGGAAGGATTATGAGCTCAAATCACAAGGTACAGATTAGAAACAAGGAGTGCAAGATCATGAACATAAATAATAATAATAATCTTCCAAAGAGAGGAAACTACTGGCAAGAATAGAGTTTAGAAAAGTGAATAAAATCAACAAAATAGAAATAAAAATGCTTTTTCAAAAAAATATAATGCAAGCAAGAAAAAGAAAGCTGAATTTATTTTCTGGTGAATAATAAAATTAAGATGTTTCAGAATAAGATGTTTCAATAGCTCTGAAATCATACAAAATAGAATTGAAGGACAGACAGTGAAGTGGACAGCTAATATTGAATGGAATAAGAGTCTCAAAATTAAATCTACTTTTTTGGTTACAGTGAAGCAGCTAAATTTAATTTATATTAGATATAGTGAGATGGAAAGTGTATCTTCCTTTAGGGCATTCTGAAGAATCTCTAATAGGTTGATAGCTGCAGTATTCTCAGTTGACTAGGTCAGATTTTGCATAAATAGCAGAAAAAGACATGAGTCTTGTGAATTTGAGGGCAGACCTCAGCAGAAATGTATTACCATAAAATAAGGCCATTTCCATAGGTTCTTTTTGGTATGACTATCACCAAGATTGTTGTTGCATTCTAATTACTTTTAAGTTCATTTCTAGAATTGGGAGTGAAGGGCAAAGGAATAGGTAAGTACTCAGTTATGGAGAAGTATCATATCACACAGTTATGACCTTTGAGAACATCCAGTCTGAACAATTCATTTGGCAGATGAAACTTTCAAAAGTGAATTCACCCCTTTGAGTATCCATGTAGTAAGTGATTCTTTAACTGAAAGCATCATGAAGACCTAAAATGCCTTATTCCAGTGAACAATGGCTTTCTTAATTACAGGATTATAGGCAAATTCCATTAGAATTATCTTGTTCTACCCCACACCAGGAGCTAACCTGGGACTTCCTGGGATCTCTCTCTCTCTTTCTCTGGACCCAGATCTACTCTTAGATCTCTAGTCTTTGCTTAGCTCTCTGCACCTCCCCAATGACTACAACACATCTATCTGCTCCCTTTCTTAGGCACAGTATTACATACCAAGACAATAAAATCATCCTCAATACTAAGACAATCACCCCATGTCCATATTAGCTTTAGGTAGAAGATGTAACAGAGCTCTTTACACATATTCAGACTATCAGGTATTGCCCTCAGCCCTTTTAACCTCATCAAGGTGACCAGATTCTCTCTTCAAACTTCTGCGTATAGATAAAACATTTACAAATACATAATGATTCAATTTTGATGTTGAATAATAGTGACATTAATATTGTGATTTCTGCTTTGTAAAGTACTTTCTTTACATTTCCTCTTTTGAAATCTTTTCATTCTCTTATATTCTTATTTAAACAATCCTCCTTTTTTGCTGCAGCTGTCTTTGTCAGTGTTTCTTTTCATGCCAGCATCACTGCAGATTCAGAGAAGTCATTCCTTCCAGACTCATAATGTCATGAATGTTTATCTAACAGATTGACTGGGTAAAATATCACTGAGTGCCTTTTAATGCCTATAGAGCAACTGGTCATCAAGATAAGAGGCCCTCACTGTGGACTGATAGGATTTGAGTTTGTTTTGAACTGCTTTATGAAACAAGGCTGAGGTTTCCAATTCCATTCCCTGCTGATGGGACTGCAGGACTGCTGAGCCTCTTTAAGAGAAGAAGCAGTAGCTAGTCCCTCAGAACTCTCACCTGGTGAGATAGCTTGTAAAAGACAACTTTCAGAAATAGTAGTTACCAAAGAAGTAATTAAGTGATGCAGAACTTATGTAATTAAGTCATTAACTTGAATTCTATCACATTAGCTCTAAGATTTTATTTGATATGACATCACCTTTTGCCTTAATGTAGAAAAAAAAAGTTATGTTTGTTACACAGGATAAATAGACCACTTTATACTCAAGGATTACAACATATTAGAGACTAAGGAGATCTCAGCGATACAATAGCTAGATAGAGAGATGTATAGACAGGAAGATGCATACATACAGGAACATATCCTTTTACTGAGCTTCACTTTATTTGCATTTTGCGGCTAATACTTTTTTTTTTTTTTAACAAATTGAAGGTTTGTGGCAACCTGGAATGGAACAAGTCTGTTGGTACGTTTTTCTAAAAATGGATGCTCACATCATGTCTCTGTATCACATTTTGATAATTCTCTCAATATTTCAAACGTTTTCATTATTACTATATCTGTTATAGTGATCTGTGACTGGTGATATTTGATGTTACTATTGTAATTGTTTTGGGGCATTACAAATTATGCCCATATTACACAGTGAACCAATATAAGACTTAATCAATAAATATAATGTGTTCTGACTACTTGACCAACTGGAAATTTCCCCCATTTCTTTCCTTCTCCAAAGGCCCCCCTATTTCCTAAGACACAACAATATTGAAATTAGGCCAATTAGTAACCTTACAATGGCCTCTAAGTGTTCAAGTGAAAGAAAATCGATCTATGGGGCAAACTTCATTGCTGTCTTATTTTAAGAAATTGCCACAGCCACCCTAACCTTCGGCAACTACCACCCTGACCAGTCAGCAGCCATCAACACAGAGGCAAGACTCTCTACTAGCAAAAAGATTACGACTTGCTGAAGGCTCAAATGATGGTTAGCATTTTTTCCAACAACGTATTTTAATTAGTGTATTAACATTAATTATTTTTAGACGTAATACTATTGCACTCTTAACAGACTATAGTATAATGTAAATGTAATTTTCATATGTACCAGAAAACCAAAAAATTGTGTGACTTACTTTATTGTGATATTTACTTTATTGTGGTGGTCTGGAACTGAGGTATGCCTGTAGATGACAGATAGATAAAGCATTTATTAAGCAGTTCCTATGAAGTAGACATTATTCAGAAAAATAAATTTAATAACTATTATTCATGTAGTGTTTGAAATAAAGATTTTGGAAGGAATGCATACTCCTCCAATATCATCCCTGAGGATCATTCTCAGCAATCAAATCCTAGAGTAGATGCTGCCATGTGTTTGAAATAGTATATATATTTTTTGCTATCTGTGCACAATCTCAACACAGTTATCAAGAACAACTGTACAAGGAGCAGGATCTTCAGGCTTTAAGATAACATGCATTTATTAAGCACCTACTATGTCTGAGGCACAATAGTACACCATAAACAGTGAATATAGAGAAGTTTATCCATTACTCAGTAAGCTATTTTTCACTGTAGAGATGTCAAATACCACAAAACAATTTCTTTTTAAAATACTTAGTTAAAATTAGCATCCTTCTCTCCCAGTCTCTCGCAATTTGACTACCAACAGCTGATAGAAAGAATTTAGATAATCAGTCTAGGACAGAGAAGGCTTTTGGAGAAGAATAGAGTATATCCTACAAAAGTGTAGGCTGCTTCTAAAGTATCTAGGGTGGATTCTCAAATGTAGCCTAACAAATGAAATAATCTATCCTCCAGTCAACATGCATTTATTAAGTGTGTTATGAGCCAAGCACTGTACTTGGTCCTGGGGAAAATAAAAATAAATAGGAAATAGTCCCTGTCCTGAAGGAGCTTACATTCTTTTGGAGGAAAAGGAAGATGAAAAAAATTCAAAAATAAGTAAAAGAGGCGGGTGGGGTAGGGCAATGTTCTATATGCAATAACTGGGGGATTGCAGCTAGGTGGTGAAGTAAGTGGATAGAGGCCAGGCTTGGGGTCATAAAGACATCTTTGTGAGTTCAAATCTGACCTCAGACACATACTAGTTGCCTGGGCAAGTCACTTAACCCTTTCACCTCACTTTCCTAGTCTGTAAAATAAGGTGGAGATGGAAATGGCAAACCACTCCATTACCTCTTCCAGAAAATGCCAAATGGGAGTCACAGAGTCAGACTTGACTGAAAACAACTGAACAGCAAAGTGGGAGATTAGAAAAGGTCTTCAGTATGAGGTGGCAGGAGATGATTTCTAAAGGAAGGTAAGATTCCTAAGGGAAAAGGGAGGAAAGCATGCATTCTGCCCAAAGTCAAAAACACAGGAGACACAACATTGCATGTGAGTGGTTCAATTTGACTGGAGTATAGAAAGCCCATAGGGAAGTAATGTGTATCAAGGCTGGAAAGGTAGGCTGGAGTCAGATTGGGAAGGACTTTAAACACCAAAAAGATGAGTTGTATTTTATTCTAGAAGCAGCCAGGAGCTACTGGTCTCTTTGAGCTAAAGAGTAAAACGTTAGTTTAGACCTATACTTTAAGATCACTGGCAACTATATGGAGTATAGCTGGGGAAGGGACAAAACTTGAAGACTGTTAGACAAATTATTCAACAGATGTGGAGAGAGTTGATGAGGGACTGAACAGGACTGAGAGCTGCAATGCGGTAGAGCTAGAATTCCCCTTCCCTTTTCAGTCTCTCCTTTTCTTGCACAATCATGGGTGTTCCAGAAACCTAACCATGCAACAAGGGAGTGTCCATAACTTACAAAGCTATATCAAAAAGGCAAAAGTTTCCTATCTTTGGAAATTCTGATTGTCTTTATCTAGGAAAAAAATAGGAAACATCTTCTTAATTGTACTTTTCTTATTCTTAGAAAACATCTTGTTGCTTAACGATAATGGCTCAATAGTTTAATACTGCTGCAGGTGCTTTTAAAAAGGCATCTTTGTATTTTAATTAACATCATAGTTCTTTACCTGAGCCCTTTAAAAGTCATGCTCACAATTGCCAAATTGGAATTTTTTTTAACTGCATCTTGAATCCATTACACCTTGGCATTCTCAGAAAGTCATTGTGGCAAAGAAACTATTATTATTTTCACTAAATTAAAAAAAAGAAAATGTAATTATTTTTAGATGGCAGACACTACTCCTTTCTCCCAGATCATGTAAAGAATCCTCTGACTTTCTCTCAATGTATAAAGCTGTCAAAGCCTTGGATTTAAGCTTTGGATTATTTCTCCTGCTGTTCCTCTTCTTTTATAAAATACATTTCCTCTTCTAAGTTTAATGTTAAGAATTTACCTAGAGAAGAAAATTCAATGCCAACAACATTTAAGCGTGAACTACAGAAATGTGTTTGGCTTGATTATGGATATTTGTTATAGGGGTTTTGTTTTTCTTTATTTTTCATGTGTAAAGGGAGGAAGTAGAAGGGAGAGCAAATAAATGCTTATAATTTTTTTTTAATCAAGAACGTACTATGTTTAAGGGGGCAGCTAGGTGGCACAGTGGAAAGAGTGCCAGGCCTAGAGTCAGGAAGACTCATCTTCCTGAGGCCAAATCTGGCCTCAGTTACTTTGAAGCTGAGTGAGCCTGGGCAAGTCACTTAACCCTGTTTGTCTCAGTTTCCTCATCTGTAAAATTAACTGGAGAAGGAAATGGCAAAAAACTGCAGTATTTTTGCCAAGAAAATACTAAATGGGGTCATAAAGAGTAGAATACAAGTGAAAAGGACTGAACAACTATGCTTAGATCACTGTGTTGGGTGCTAGATACACAGAGATGATGAAAAAGAAATATTCCTCTCCTTTTGAGGTACTTATGCTTAAGTAATCTAAAGTAGCTCTCAGTCTCCTTTTAATATATTACACAAGCCTTTGGTGATTGATGTTTATGTTAACCAATTGGTGGATAAAATATATGTGAAATGATGCTGAAAAGTAAAAATACTTTTATTTATGTGTCATTTTAGTGCTATTTTCATAGAACTCAAATCTCCAACAATCTTTAAGGTCATCAAATCAAATTACAGCTGCTAAAAATAAGACTGAGAGAGAATGATTTGTCTCCAAAGGCTGCATGGTCAGGACTGAAAATCAAGAACTTCTGATTGAAAATCTTGTTAAGGCACTCACCTGGAGGGTCCATTCCCCACTATCATCCTAAAATTTTCTCTCCAATGTCATCAGTGACTCTCTAATTACCAAATTCGGTGGCCTCTTATCAATCAGTACTAATCCTTTTTGAAGCTGTTGACACTAGAGACCACCCCTCCTTGATGATGATTCCTTCCTTGGTTTCTGGGCTCTATCCTGGTTCTACTTCTATTTCTTGGACTTTTACTTATTAACCTTCACTTGCTCCCCTTTCTCCTATAATTCATGTCTAAAAAGGTTCCTTTGACCTCTTCTTGACACTTAACCATTTTCTCATGGGTATATGCATACATCCCTCATTCCATTCACTCCTGGTGGATTAATAAGAATGTCAGCTAGCACATATATAGCCTTTTAAGATTTGAAAAAATGCTTTACAGGTAGTATCTAATTTTGGTCCTCATGATAACCCTGTAAGGTAGATAATATTATTATGCTTGATTTATAGAGGAGGAAACTAAATCTGAGAGAGCTAACATGACTTCCCTAGGGTCACACAGCTAGCAATTGCACAGGACAGGATTTTAATGCAGATTTTCCTAATTTTAAGATCAACACCATTGACTGTGCCACCTAACTGCCTATGAAGGAACTATCATTTCTCTTCATGTCTTTCTTACAGCAAATACTTTGTAATGTTAGCTGAATTCTTTCTGTTGAATTTGTTTTTGTTGAATTTGTTGAATTGTTTTTGAATTGTTCTGGTTCTTTCCTCACATGGTGTGAATATCCAGCATCAAGTCAATATCAAATTATGTTATAGTCTGTCCATTTCATAGTCAGTATAACCCATCCCCCAAGATATTGTCACAATATGTTTGATATTGACACTTTTATAATATCACTAGGGAGATTAATAATTTAACAGAATCCAATTGATTAAATATTTTTAAATCTCTTGCTTAGGAATATTTAGTGAACTATGAGGGCAGGATGAGAGAGTTACTTAGAAGGTTGGTTTGAAATGAAGTTCTCTGCCATTACATATAGACTTGTAGTGAGCATAAAATTAGAATAACAAGACTTGCAATAATTCAATTAATATTAAATATTTCCACTACAATAGGAACAATCACAAGGAAAAAGCAGGTCTTCATCCTCTTTCCAAAGGATCTAGTTAATTGATGCTCTTATGAGACAGAAATTATTTTCACTATAAAGGGGTTGGTATCACTTAGTCATTAAAAATTCAGAAACTCCTGCTGACTGGCTGTTAACCCATATTCACTCACAGAAGCCTGATAATTTTACATGAATATCGCCATCACTTCTAGTTAAGTAGATAAAAGTGTCCTCTCTCTATCTGGAATTCTTGAAAGAAAAAAGAAATACCTGTCTTTCTATAAAGTAATACAATTCTAATGAAAAAGCAGCAGAATTTCATTATAATGAGTATGATTATCATCAGGTTTAGATATACCATTTACTAAAACCAAACAAGTTCCCTGAAGCATTTTGCACAAAAGCCAGCTATAAAACTGTTGCCCCATAAGGCAGTTATCAGTCTTGGCTCCTATGTATTATAGAGAGTTTCTTATGTATTTCCATTTATAAGAATATATGTTAGGCATTTGGTGGTCACTCATCACTCAAGAAACTCAGTAGACAATTTGCTACCTCCATTGACACTACAGAATATTTCTTAGGAATGTACAGAATACATTCCGGGGGGGGGGAAGAGAATGAGAGGAGCACCATCCCAACTTACAGTTGACTCCTTGCAAGAGTATGCTCACAGTGACCTACAGAAGTATTGTGTTGAGTAACAGATGAGCTGAGCTGGCTTTCCACAAGAACAAATGTTATATTTTAGACCAAGACACACTCTGAAAATAATTACCACTCCAGGTACAATTCCAAACAGAAACTAATTAAAAAGGAGTATCACCATATGGTAAAAACTTCCTGAATCAGGGGATATTTTAGTATGCTTGATAGGTGTACTACAAAAAAATAACCCAGAAGACCCCATAACAAGTATCCACAGTTAATCATCTTTTTGCAGGTTGAAATACTTTGTAAAACTTAATATTGCCTAAACATATCAAAAGGTTATCATCAATATGCTACTGAAGAGGCTAAAGCAATCATTATTCATTGAGAGAATGCTCTGAGTTCAGCACTGTAAATTGGAATTTCTGCTGCATCAGAAATAATAAAATCTCAAGTTATATAGCATGTTCAAATTTACAAAGGATTTGGGTGTTGCCCAAGAGCTTTATTCACAGTGCACTTATATGTCTCCAAAAATTCTCACCTTACTTAACTCACAATACCATGAAAAAGTAAGTGCTGAATTTAGAATGAGGAAACTCAAGTTCATACTTCAGCTCCAGCACTTTCTAGCTGTTATGGCCTTGACAAGTCACCTATTCTATCTAAGCCTCAATATCTTCCTCTGTAAAACAGAAAGAAAAAAAATCCAAATCACCTAATTTTTTGTAATGAAAATCCTTTTGAAATATGAAAATGCAATAGAAAGGGGTATATTATTATTGTATAGATGATTTTAGAGCCTAGCCACAATCTAGTTCCATCCTCATATTTTTCATATAGGGAAAGGGAGGGCCAATGAAATAAAGAAACAATAACATCACTAGTCAAATAATAGGTCTTGGAGGCAATGGGAAATATCAGATTCTGGTGGGAAAAATAGATCACAATGGTTAGGGATTGTCAAGACAAGGTTGTATTTTGCAAACATAGCTTTTCTAGGAATATCATTGAGGAATTATGTTGGGCAGAATAGAATATAAATATCAGAGAGTTTATTGCTGGCACCTATGGATAATAGGGATAAGAATACTGATAAGAGTAGTTGAGAGTAATAACCTTGATGGTCCCAACTCATTTTTTGTTCCTGGCACTAGCATCATTTGTGCTAGTCAGAGAGGATCTTGAGAGTGAGGTAGGCTTCATTGATTCTTCCTCCTATAAAGCTCACATAAGCTGGCATAGGAAAAAATATTTTTTTTTTCCGGAGTTGCTGAAATTAGTTTTGGCAACACAGGCTCACAACTGAGGAATTAGCAGAGTTAAAAGGAATTTTCTAATCCCTGGTTTTACGGTCATGTGGGAATATGCATCTCAAATCAGGACCAGAC